GTCTGGCGAGCGCACGCGCCCTACAGTGAAAATCTCTCCAAAAAAAAAAAAAAAGATTTGCCACAGGGCATATGACTTGATGGAGAGAGAGATAGAGAAGAAAAGTGAGGAGCACTCCCCAGGGGAGTCCTTTTGCCATAAGGCATGTGTAATCACAGAAGAGAGACACAGACTGAGACAGAGAGCAGCAAAGTGAGCCCCTGCAATCCCTTTTTCCATTCTTCTCTTGGGGTTTTGGGCACTCACGCACACACAACTGCTGTGTTTTTCGAGCTGCCATATCCAGGACTTGAACTGTGCAGTTAGCTATGTAGGATCTGGTGCCTTAACCACCATACTACCTGCTGGCCTAGTTTTAATGACCAGATATTCTATGATATCTAATACAGGTTTTTGCATATAGTCAATACACACTTGTTGGATTGAATGATATGTATTGTATACTTATTTTCTTCCAGATGTAGTCTTCTAAAGCACTTTTAGAAAACCACGTTTACATAACCAAATGTACAAATTACATACTCTTAATTTACCCATCCAACAAATACTAGTCAGTGAGTTAACCAATACAAGGCAAGTCCTGAACTCCATCATAAACTCACCATTAATTCAGGCATTTCATATACTACATACTGTACTGCATATTCTTATTATGATCACTACTCTATTTGGAGCCTAAGGCTCTTTTCTGTGTGTGTGTGTGTGTGTGTGTGTGTGAGAGAGAGAGAGAGAGAGAGAGATTGAGAGAGAGAGTTGGTGCATGCCAGAGAGAGACAGGGAGACAGAGAAAGGAAGAGTGAGAAGATGATGAAAAAGTACCACTCAACAGGGTGTGGTCAGGCTGTAATCCCTTTTACCCCATTTCCCTATTGAGTTGGGATTTGGGGCATGCATGTATGTATGCTCAGCACTGGCCATGTAAGATTGAGCTCACTTAACCACTAGGCTAAAGGGCCAGCCTTCTTTCCTGCCTTTTTTTTTTTTTTTTAAAGAGATTTTTGCTATAGGGCATGTGCTCTTGCTGGAGAGGTAAGAGACAGAAATCACCCCCTTGGGTGTTGGCCATGCCACTATCTCTTCTCCTCCATTCTCCTCTCAGGATCTTGGGCATGCACGCACCATGCACTTGGCGTGAGTTTTAAGTTGCCGGTCGAGGACCCAAACTACGGTCAATTACATGGGAGTCCAGCGATGTAACCATTATGCCATTTGCTGTTCCCACTTTTCTGTTTTAATGCTTATGATCTACTTAGAACGTTACAAGCATCACTGCCAGTGTCTGCAGTTTTAAGAAGGTGTCGGGGAAATAGCGACAATGATTTGAATCCTAGTATAAATGGTATTTTGGGATAGGATAAAAGGAAAAAAGTAGCAAAAATAGTCCCTACTGCTGAGGAGGGACAAAAATAATCAAAGTTGTTCTAAAGAGGAGTAGAGTAGCTCTGGGCGTTTTAGGAGGGAGATATGTGAGTTTAGGAAAAAAAAGCTAGCATAGCTAACAGCTATCTTGAGAAGATGGATAATCAGTGGTAAGGGGGGCTGGCTGTTACTGAATGAAAGACTGAAATGGCCACAATAGTGACAATAGTCTCGGGAGGGGCTGCTTTCACTCTCCCTGCAGTTTAGTGTAACCTTAAAGTTCCCCAGCTCAGTGTTTTAACAGCTAAGAAGATAACCCAATCGGAGAGGAAAATAACTGCTTTTTTTTCTTCCCTTAGCAAACATTTACCAAGGATCTGCTTTGTTCACATGCTGTGTAAGACAATAGGAATACAGCTTCTGCCCTTAAGGCTCTTACATTCTGTGGTTTAACCTGGTCTTTGTTGGTGCATGAAATGCTTGAATGACAACCCTGCCACCTGTGTGGTTTCAAAAATGGCCGGAGTTTTTCTAGAAAATGCACATTTTGGGGTTGCCTTCATATATAAATATCACATGTCCACGGCAGAATATTTGTATAAATATAAAAAGCTTAGAAAAAGAGTCCAGCTCTTCTTTCTCCCCCCCCTCTCCATCACAGCTCTGTTCCCACCTCGCTGCCCAGGTAACAGCAGTTCTGCGAGCACATTCCTCATGTTTTCAGTGAACAGATACATGTGCTGCATCGCCGCTGCACTGAACTTACTGTCAGGGAAAAATACCAACAACAGGTCATTTCAGTCAAAAGCTCTAGAAGTAAATTAGGAAAGTTTTTATTTTAGCTCTAAAACTATGAAATTATAAAATGATCATATCTTATTGCAGATATTAGCATCATACATTCCTCGTTAATAAGTTCAGAGAAAAATGTAAGAAAACTACTGCAATGGAAAAATCAAAAATAGTCAGATGAACAACTAAAAACTATGTCTGAAGAGAATCCTAGCATGTTAGAATAAGAGGAGGTCAGAATTCATTTCACATAATCTCCCTCCTAATTTTATAGATAAGAACGGGCCTGAGAGTGTTGAAGTGCCTTGCCCAGTCACCCAGTCAGGTGACAGATTCTGCACTAGTACGCACAACTAATTCCGCACGAGTACGCAGTCTTCATTTGACTGGCTTACAGTATTATCTCCCAGTTTTCACAAGGACATCACTGAACTCAGACCTCTTTTGAAAAAAAAAAAAAAAACAATTTCATTCTGTATTGTTAAATAAACAAAATACTGATAAGCAAAAAGAAAATTAAAAACAGCTACTCAATGAATACTTTATCTATGGACTCTTTTCAGTTTTATCCTCACTGCATAACCTTACCTTGCGGTACTGGGGGAACGTACTGTTTGTTACTCATGTGCTAGTTATGGTCAAGATTTCAGCAAATCACAATCGGGTTATCAAGCTAACAACAGAAATGTTGGAGGTCAATGTCAGAAGGAACAGCTCCTAGCTTGAACACCATGAGATCAGAAAAGCAGATGAGAGAGAAGAGGCTGTTAAGTATTTGGTTGTACTGTGGTGATTTTCATCTGACCCTATTTTCCCACTGATGTCTGTCTGTACAGCAGGTCTACCCTCCTGTGGCAGATGATACTATAAAAGACATAGCATAGTGCCTCCCATATTTCAAGCTCACTTTCTGAGGACAACTTGCCTAGCCAGAGTTTTTGAATACACAGCCCTAGGTAGGCACCATAGGCTCCCTGTTCGCCAGTACGTACGGAAGGCTTTCTGTAGGTGGGCTAATAACCTCAGCAAGTCCTGCTACAACAGGGGATCACGCGAGGATGAAGAGCTGTGCCAATTAGATTCTTAGGTGGAGAAACACAGAGAAAACTAGTTGGTTTTTTAGGAGAGATTTTTGCTCTAGGGTGTGCGTACTTGCCAGAGAGACAGAAAGAGACAGAGAGACAAAAAGCAAGAAATCACCCATGGGGGATGGCCATGCTGCAATCCATTCTCCTTTCAGGATTTTGGACACACACACACACATACCCGGTGTGAGTTTAAGCTGCTGGGTCCAGGACTTGAGCTGCAATTGACTACATGGGAGTCCAGCAACATAACTATTATGCCATCTGCTTGTCCCAAGAACTAGTTTTAGGAGAGTAGATGAAGAAAGGATGCACAGAAACCCTTCGCAAGACAAAAGGCTTTGAGCAAGGAAATGAGGAAGTGGAACTACGAGTAGGCAGAAACTAGGAGAGAAATAAAGAGAACCTGATGTACCAGCCATGGACCCAGCTGCTGAAATCCCTAGAGCTGCCTTGGCATGGGCAGGCGCCACCACGCCCCCTAGAGCTGCCTTGGGTACAGGCTGTTTTCTCCGCCCTGTCAGTTTAGTCTCCAATAAAGCCATGACATGTATCCTTACAAAAACCATCCCTTATTTGATCTAGATTGCAACGTTCAGTCATCTTTTTTTTTAAAGGCTGAATTATATAACCACTAAGAAATCTCTCTGATCTCACTGATCTTAAATGTCATTATCTGTATGTATGTATGTATATGTGTGTGTGTATATATATATATATATAAATGGTTTACTATACTTGATCAATAGTTACAGTGATCTAGGGAGTTTAAAAAAATTAAAAAACATGAGGACTCTTTGAATCAATACTGCAGAGAAAATTTTTCTGATTTTGAGTGTTTCTTCTGAGAAATGTAAGCATGCTTGAGAAACCATTTTGCAGAAAAGGAAATATTTAATAAGGTTAGCCCTATTTTGATTCTGTTGCCCATTCTTATTATTTATTAAAATACATCATTTCAGTATGTCCTTATTTTCCCTACTTTTAATCACGAATTTTCGTGTTTCTTTGTCTTTGACCAACTTCTGTGTACATACAATTCTACCTAATAATGTGTTTTAGTTCATGTTAATATGGTTGGCTTTACATTTTATTTGCCACTCTTAGAGCAAAATATACTATTTTATAAATAAGAAAAAAGCAAGTGTTATTTTCACTCTCATGTAAATTAAAACATTATAAAGATAATTTTCTAATTTTCACGAACCTACCCTTGGAGTTTGTTGGGGAGTGGGGTATGTGCTAGATTTAGGTTAATTACTAAGCAAATCCAAAAGTTAACTAGAAATATAAAACCCAACTATCATCTATAAGCTATATAATATACACATTTGGAAAAGGAATTAATAGAAATCTTTCAAGGTTCTTTTGTAAAAATATTACAACTAATTTAATACCAATATGACTGAGAGAAGCAAATTTAAATAAAATACAATGAATGAAAATAAGAGATATTAACTTTTTTTTTTTTTGGAGAGGCTTTTGCTATAGGGCGCGTGTGCTTGCCAGAAAGACAGAGAGAGGGATACAGAGACAGAAAGTGAGAAATCGCCCCCCAGGGAGGATGGCCACGCTGTAATCCCTTCTCCTCCATTCTCCTCTCAGGATCTTGGGCATGCACGTGCAAGCACCTGGCGTGAGTTTAAGCCATGGGGTTTGGGACTCAAACTGTGGTCGACTACATGGGAGTCCAGCAACATAGACTATTATGCCAACTGCTGGTACCGAGATATTAACTTTCTAAGTTTTAAAAATTATACTTACAAAGAGTGTTGGTTTGGGGATAAATATGTTGTCTTCAGGCTCTTTAGGCACATTCAAAGTCTTTGATTTCTGATTTTCTGTCACATTTTTTGATTCCATTTTCGTAAGAAGTAAGCTGTTCTCAGAATGTTTACTACGCATATTAATGAGAATCTGTTTCATCGTTGCCAGTTCCTGTTGATATATGAAAATAAAAGAATATGGTAAGTGTAATTTTAGTTAGCAGACTAATAATGATTGATGCTAAAATATTCATTTTTCTTTCAGTAGAAGAAACATTTGAAGGCACTATTCTATATAAATGAGGAAAGCTGTAAAAATAACAACATATTAATGTACAATAACTGCACACAAATTTTGTAATGATTAATACGTTTAGCATGATAACTGATAAATACCACATTCTGTACTCTAGTGGTTCCCACATTATTCTGCACATTGGAGTCATGTGTGGAACTTCAAAAAGGCCGCAGATTTGAAGTCATTGGTGTAGACGAAGACCTGGACTTTGCATATTTTAATGAGCCCAAGTGATTCTAATGAACAGACACATTTGGGAACCACTGGCATGGCTACTTCACAGTATAGTTTTCTTACACTTCTGTTGAGTGGATTATTTAGGCAACTAACCTTTCTTCTTCTCCCCTTAAACTCTCCCATTTCTTTTAAGTCTGATATGACAATGGTAGAGAAAAAGAACCAAAGTCTTTTTTCTTGGTTACTAATCAATTCAAACAATAGCCATTGTATCCCCATGTCCTTTCACAAGTGATGAGTGGAGTTCCCTTAAGTTGCTTTTTGAATAAGAATTAATCGTGCTGAATATTTTTTTGCAGAATTCAGACCAAAATTTTTACCCATTCCTTCTTCCTTGTCTATTTTGTCTATTACTTTTTTCCATAGACAAATCTTTAACATCTAACACTAATTAGCGAGTATTTGTGATTAATTACTAAACTGATTCATCAGGCACAACTACATGAAGAGATGACAGTCTAAACTCTCTGTTACCTTATCTATCGGCACAACAGTGGTAGGCTGTAACAGGTAATATTTCCCTATTATTTTACTCATCTTCATGCTGAGACACAAAAGTTATGGTGATCGAAAGACAGGCTCTGCTCCCATCTACTAATCTGTTTACAGACATCAGCTCTGTGTCAGAGCAAGTTTCTACAGGCCCTTCTTTGCTGGCTGTCATTATTTCTATTTAGAACCATCGAGCTTGAGTGGGTATTTTAAAACAGAGCTGCTGAGTTTAAGCCACATTGCCTTAACAGATTTTAGGGCCAGGATAGGAGGTGGAAGAAACAGTGCCAGAATCCTTTCTTGTTTCTGCAGTATTGAGGCTGTCCTGGCCAATTAACACATGTGAGAATGTGTATCCCTCCAGACACTGGATATCCTATTACTTGGATCTTCTATGGGCCTTCCAGGGGCTCTCTTTGCTTTCGAAATTACATTATTTCATTTGTGCCATCCCCTAAAATGGAGTATTTAATCACTGACTTAATGTTAAACACTGGTGTTACAGTAGATTCAGCTCCTGTTCTACTTACCAAAATAAGTAGAAGGGAAACGGGCGATGACAGTCTCCCAGACTATCAAAAGATATATATATATACACACACATACATAAATATATATATATATATATATATACACACACACATATATGTGTGTGTGTGTGTATTTTTTTTGTCTGAAAGAACAAAAAAAAGTTACCAGCAATAACTTTAATGTATTGGTATAAAGATAAAATAATAGGAAAATATCACCTCCAACACAACCTACCACTATTTTACAGATGAATAAAGAAAAGCAAGGTAATCTCTCATACTTGCTGGAGGAGGGGAGGGGGAGAGGGGCAGGAATGATAAGGAGAGAGAAAAGGAACAAGTTAAGAGTGTGGTAGGCAGGGGATTTGGTCTGCAAATGCCCTAGAGCAAGCCATAGTTTTTCTTTTGGCTTCCCTCTGTTGCTGGTGTAGTAACAGTTACAGGAAACAGATCATCCCTGATGTGGGTCAGATCAGAAGAGAAGCAAAATTCATGTTTTTGCCTTGTCCAGACTAGAATCGCCCCAATCACCACAGCATGTCACAGTACAACTTCTGTTCATCGGACAGTATAAAAAACATGAATACAAGTTCCTAAATCCAGATAAAGAACACTTTAAAGTGACAAAATTCTGTAAAATTCCTACTACAGTTACAGTGGATATCCAAATAACATTTTTTTTCAAAGTCTATTTATTTATGTCTCCCATGGGAGACAGAGAGAAAGAGATAGACAGGCTCCCCTGACAGTGTCTTCACACTGCTCTCCCCCAGCCTTCAGCCAGCCCAGATGACAGGCACCAGCGCTGGCCCAGTGGGCACAGGGAGGCCTCAGGACATTACTCCAGGACCTTCCCGTACACATGGGTACAGTGGTGTTAATACTGTGTCAGTGCCTGACACCCAAAATAACACTTGGAAATACATTTTTCAGTTTTATTATGTCTAGCTTATATGATGATACCTTTTATTTTAATAGTAAATTCAAACAAAGAAAATCCCACTTTCACATCAAATAGTATAATAATACCATTATATACCAAGCATAGAGTTCAGCATACATAGTGATATTATTTTACTATTAAGCTAGAAATCAAAGACACTTCCATTCTTAAGGATATTGTGTAAACCAGCCTATTCTGGTTCAGTGAGTTTCAGTCTCCAAATTGATAAAATATATATTTGTGTTACCTTTTTGGAATTTTGCCAGTTTGATTAAGTGTTTGCTTACTTTACATTTCTTCTATTTTGAGGTAGAGCAGCTTTTCATATATTTAAGGGTATTTCCTTTTCTGTTGCTATCTTCGGCCCCATTTTTCTACTGAGTGAGTGGTCATTTTCTTAGACATTTCAAGGAATTATATGTTAGGAAATTAGTTCCTTGTGTTTTTCTTTCTTTTTTTCTTTTCTTCTCTCTTTATTTATTTTCCAGAGGGTGTGTGCACTCACCAGAGAGAGGGAAAGTGAAAAATCACCCTTCAGGGGAGATAGCCATGCCGCAATCCTGTCTACCCCATTCTCCTGTCAGGATTTTGGGCATGCATGCACATGTACCTGGAGTGAGTTTTCCTTTCTTTCTTTTTCTTTTTTAACTTTTCTTTCTTTTTTTTTAAAAGAGAGATTTTTGCTATAGGGCATGTGCGCTCACCAGAGAGAGAGAGACAGAAAGATAGAAAGCAAGAAATCACCCCCAAGAGGGGATGGCCATGCAGCAATCCCTTCTACTCCATTCTCCTCTTGGGATCTTGAGCACGCACACACATGTGGCCTGGCGTGAGTTTAAATAGCTGGGTCTCAGACTCAAACCATGGTCAACTATGTGGGAGTCCAGTGATGTAACCATTATGCCACTTGCTGATCCTCTCTTTTTAATATATTTTTCTTAATTAATTAATTAGTATTTTAGGTTTTTGCCATAGGATTTGTGCGCTTGCTGGAGAGAAGAGAGAAAGAGAGAAGGAAAGTGAGAAATCATCTCTTGGGGTGGGGGAGGGGGGATGGCCACATCGCAGTCCCTTCATTCTCCTCTCAGGATTTTGGGCAAGCATACACGTGCGTCTGTTGTGATTTTTTTTTTTTCTTTAGAGTTTTTTGCTATAGGGCGCATGCACTCACCAGACAGACAGAGAGACAGAAAGTGAGAAATCACCCCCCAGGGGGGATGGTAATGCAGCAATCCCTTCTCCTCCGTTCTCCTCTCGGGATCTTGGACACGCACGCACACGTGCCCGGCGTAAGTTTTAAGCCACCGGGTCCGGGACGTGAACCGTGGTCAACTACGTGGAAGTCCAGCGAGATTGCCATTACGCTAAATGCTGATCCCGCGCCTGTTTTGATTTTCAAGCCACCGGGTCTCGTACTTGAACTGTGATCAGCCATGTAAGAATCCAATTGCCTTAACTACTATGCCACTTGCTGGCCCTAGCTTCTTCTTTATAATATGAGACATGTTTTTCTTTTTCTTTTTCTTTTTTTTTTTTGGAGAGATTTTCGCTATAGGGCGCGTGCGCTCGCCAGACAGACAGACATAGAGACAGAAAGTGAGAAATCACCCCCCAGGGGTGATGGTCACGCTGCAATCCCTTCTCCTCCATTCTCCTCTCTGGATCTTGGGCACGCACGCACATGCGCCTGGCGTGAGTTTTAAGCCACGGGGTTCAGGATGTGAACCGCGGTCGACTATGTGGGAGTCCAGTGACATAGCCATTATGCTAACTGCTGGTTCCCAGAGACATGTTTTTCTAGTTATTTATTTTTTACTTGCCTTTATTTAAACCCCTCCCCCCCCTATTTTTTCCTATTAAGATTGTGGGGTACTTTGTCAATATTTTCTTTTATGGCCTCCCTTCCTTCCTTTCTCTCTCTCTCTTTCTTTCTTTCTTTTTAGTTTGGTGTAGGGCTTCCTGGAGAGACTTGGGGGGAGGATTTGGGAGTGATAAAGTACTCCCCCTGGGGATGACTATGCCAAAACTCCTCTTCCATGGTCCTCTCAGGAGAGAAGTGCACAAGCACCTGGACTGTTTTTCTTTTTATTTTTTAACGTTTTTGACATAGGGTATGTGTACCCACTGGAGAGACAGACAAACAGAAAAGAGGGAAACTGAGAAATCATTCCCTAAGGGGGCATGGCTATGCTGCAAACCCTTCTCTCCCATTCTCCTCTCAGAATTTTGGATACACACACACACACACACACACACACACACACACACATGCACTTGGCATGATTTTCAAACCACCAGGTCCAGGACTTGAACTGTGGTCAGCCATGTGGAAGTCCAGTGCCTTAACCACTGTGTTACCTGCCGGCCCCACCTGGACTGTTTTTCAAGTCACCAGGTCCAGGAATCAACTGCATAGTCAGCTATGTGGGATCCAGCTGTCTTAACCACATCACTGGCTAGCCCTCCATGTTTTCATCCTACCATTTCCTTTTGTTACTTTTATGTTTTTTTTTCTTTTCTTTTCTTTTTTAAACTTTAAGGGCTTTGATATGCTTTAAGTTTATCCTGGCTTATGGTGAAAGACCCAACATCTTCCACCCTCAATATGGCTATCCAACAATAATACGATGCACCGAGGATATAATTTCCCCCCATGGATGCTATCTTTATCA